AAACTTTTTCGGGACCCAAGATTCATTGATTGGCTAGAACTGGGATTTGTTCTTGCCCAAACTGCAGCACGCTTCCTGAAGGAGTCTAGACATGAACTTATCGGTTGTGGGGCGGATAGCTTAGCAGGTGCATTTCACCCCGAAAGCTTTCCCCTCCAACCCGCAATCAAACCAATTTGGGTCAACCGAAAGCATGACCGTCGTAGGGCATACGGTGTGCGTGTGCCTTTTACCTGTTGTTGCGGTCCAAGCAACTGGCTGACCCACGCTGGTCGCGTTTCCCTGGTGAGTGTGGAGGTTCGTCAAGTCCAATAATTTTCTGGTCAGAGCATCGCCTTAGGCTAATCCGTGCACGACCCTGTGGTAATATTGGACCCTCTTTACACCACCCCCCCCTCTCGCTAGGAGTGGAGCCAGTCAGCTGGACCCTCTTTAAGCAAAATCCTGGGGTCTGGGAGGGACAGTACTTGCTTTAGTATTACCAATTCTGTTGCCAAGGCTGACTCTCAGATTCCCAGCACTTACTTTCGTATTGCCAATTCGAAATTAGTATTGCCAAGGCTTTTACTCTCAGATTCCCAGTATTGCCAAGGCTGACTCTCAGATTCCCAGTTACCTACGTTAGTATTGCCAGTTCTACTTTAGTGTTGCCAAGGCCCGTTTTTTTCGGCAACCTCCAAACAGGTTAGACACTAAAGAGGACCCCAAAACAGTCGCATTCAAGAGGATCAAGGCCCCTGCTGGGCACCCCGCTTTGTGTGACTGTTGCCCGTACTTTTTGTGTAAAATATGTTCTCTTAAATTTGATGGTTTGGGGGCCACTGGCAAAATGAACTTCCTAGATCCAAGGCCTTTCCCCTTTGAGCTGGGAAGAGCTTGGTTAGGTGAACCACCCCAAAAGAAAAAGGCTAAGGCTTGAGTCTAATAACTTCAGCAACCCCAAAAGTCGTTGGAAACTAAAGAGGACCTCAAAACACACACACACATTAAAGAGGCTCAGGGCCGATTGTGGGCAACCCCCTTTGTGTGACTGTTTGCCCGCACTTTTTTGTAAGGATGTTATCTTAAATTTGATGGTTTGGGGACCACTTCAAAAAATCCTGTTTGACAGGATTTGTTTGCTCGATAGTTTTGCTCGACTTCTTTGCCAAGTTTGTTTGGCCCATATTTTATCGGAGGCTTAGTCCCAGACAAGATCAGGAGAGTAAAAACAACATGTTTTCTGATCTTTTTCGGGGAAACAATGTGCTGCAATTGAGGACCCCAAAACAGTCACAAGATCCTAAATTGCGAAGCAGTTTTGCTATAATAGAGGGTGCCCGGTTTAGGGCCACCGCCCGCAGACTGATTCCCAGCGCTGATTTCCCGAGAGGCGCCTGTTTTTGGCTGACAAGTATTTGGGGAAGCCTAAACTACAGTCATTTAGAAAACCCTTAACTTTTGATTTGGTTGCTTCCACCGAAACCGAGCCCCCAAAAAGTTCCGATCCTTTTTCTACAGAGCTCACTGCAAGGGCCAGCCTTGTTTAAGAGGTGTTTAAGGCTCTGAGCTGGACGAGTCCAAGCCTTACTTTGAGGAATGCAAAACTGATTTGTTTTTTTGTTCCAAGAGAGCACCAAAATCAGAATGCGCTTTGATGTGAGTGTGCCCTTGGATGTCAAGCGAACCAAAGGAAATCCTCTAAGTTGTTTGGTGTTTGGGAATTGTAGCCACACGCATTGAGCAACGCCCTAAGGGAGAGGTGCCTGGCGTTCCATTCGAACCAGGCTTTGCAGAGAAGCTCTCTCGCAAGCGCACATCATGTGTATGCCTACAATATATATATAATATTATGTATATATATATATATACATATATACATATAATAAATGTGTTCTGCATATACAGGTATGTCGTCAACACAGAGGGACCCCAAAATGGTAGCCTCAAAAAGACACAACCCCACAAAGTTTTTCTCACAGGTCTTTGGGTCCCAGGAAGGCCATTCAGACAGGCCCTCGCCCGCCTTGAGTCGTATTTTGTGCGGATATACGCGAGCATATCCATACAGATGTTCCTTATTGTATTGGACCGGGTTGGACCTGCTCAAATATTTACCCTCCCCCCCGGCTCCCGAACGGTGCCAACGAATTCACCTTGTTTGGCTGGGTGCCGATGACGTGGCGATGGCGGGAGGGACGATGTCCGCTGTAATAGAAGGCCCCAAATCAGCCCCAGGATCCGGCATGAGGAAAACAACTTTATGTAGAAGGAGCTCCAAGTACAAAAGCGGGTGCAACATATTAATAAAGGAGGTGTAACATTATGGGTGAAAACTAAACCACCAGAAGTCGGACCGCGGGTTTTAGTCTTTGTTTCCATTTACCAGGGCAGCTCATTTTGGGGTTCCCCCATTTTTGACCGCCACACCCGTATCTCGTTGAAGCACCTGGTGACTTTCATGGCGAGTCAGGGTGACTTCGCAGTGGCATGGGCTTAGGGGAGCAGCGCGAGTCAAACCTCGATTGAGGGACGGGACGCCTGGAAGAGAGAGTGATGACTTCCTGGCCGCGCCAAATCGATGCCCGGGGATTTGGCTTAAAGTCCGGTCTATTTACCTCCCATTGGGGGTGTTGCCGAAGAATCCAAGGGATTGGGGGGCTTCACACTTCACAAGTTGGCCCAGTTGTGCGCCGATTTGTCAGACACTTGCACTGCATGTTTTGTCCGCTGTATTTGAGATGTTGCTAGCGACTTCCCAGCTTAAATTGGCAAGAGTCACCGCAAAGGAAGAATTTGCGAAATCCGGGCGCAGCTCACACGATGCCTGACAATATCCGGCCTCTAGCAGCTTGTGCGTTGGATGGATGAGTCGTTGACATGATAACAGATGCATTGACTCGGCCAGCATGCCGTAATGCGCCGTGTATTGCATCAGTCAGCCCAGCGACTCATTTGGATTTTCGGCTGCGACCAATCCCAGTCTGAATCTCTGCGAGTGCGGCCAAGCATTTGCCTGCATCTCGCAGCCGTGGCCAGCTCACTGGACCTGATTCGGTGGTTGTGCTATGCTGGCCTCATGATACCATGATCAAAGTCAGCCCCTGAGGTGTGGGCCACAGGATATAACTGCATTTTCTGACTTTGACAACCTCCGGAGAGCGTCAACATAATGACCCCAGTCATGGGCAAGGCCGCCGTCGCCATGTTTGAGATGTGGTGTCTATCGGGGGGTGTCCGGTGTGCTGCGAGTTGAAGGTAATTCGCGCATCTAACCCTCGCACCTGGGTTAGTGCGAGCAGATGCCATGGGGTGGTAGTTGGCCGACAGGAAGCATTACTCCCCCTGAACAGTGCGTTTGCTTCGTCTCCAGCAAAATGGGCCTACTATGTCAACTGGGGTAGCTGCAGTTGTATTATACTTGGTGGCTCCCAGCCATCCCCTTAGCTTTTAGCTTCTTGGGGTTTGACGATGGGGATTTCCATGGAATCCACTAAACGTGAAACTTTTAGCAGGAGGATATGAGGACAGCCCAGTAGACAAATCTGTCGTCAGCACGTTCCTGGCAGAGCCTAGAGAGTTGCACATTGCTTCACTCCCGTTTTGTTCAGCTTGCTCGCTCATTCTTCTATGGCCAATTCTTGTATACTCTGGTGCATCCGGCCTCTGCGACTTGACAACTCATTCGATCACGGCTGGGTGTTATCTTTTTCGCATCAAGCGCCTGAGCCAACTGGGGATTGGACGCGCACAACTTCCACCGGGCTTGGCTCAAGGCGCAGGCTTTGCTTTTTTTCACGGCGCACGGTGCTCGTGAAAAGTTGTCCGAGGGGAGGTGAATCGGAACCGATTGATGGGCCTATTCATGAAGGGCGCTTTGTTGGAAGAAGAGCATCTCGCCAAACAAGAACGTGAAGAAGGAAGCATTAGATTCATACATCTGGAGTGCGCATCGGAGGGTGGGGCCGACCAGAAAGCCCGTGCTTGGGTACTTGAGTAGACCTGAACGTTGCCTTAGCGATCAGCAGTTAGAAGGGAGAGGCCGAAGGCGCAAGAGCTGTCAACATGAGGGGGGGTTCCTTGCTTAGAGTGAGAATTGCATTGGATTGGTGCTCGCTTGCCTTAGTATTGTTCAGCAATGGCGTATATAATACATTGCTTTAGAATTGGCTTAGTATTGGCGGAGTGTCAATCCACGTTTATGAAATGTTAGTTTCGTGTCAGAACAAGCGGCCGGATGAACTCGTAGCGGCAGCACGGACAAGTAACAAACAAGCATTAGCATTTGTCATTGTGTCATTGGATAAATTTGGGCCAACTGGCCTGCTGACTGAGGACGCCGTGCGTAGCAGTTTGAACCAAGTTGTTTGCCGTTTCACACCCGACTGGGAGGCCAAACGGGGGCGAAAAATTGTGCTAGCAAAGCCCTCTTCAGTTTTTGCTTGCTTTCAAGTGTGTGATTCTTGTCAAACACTGGCTTGAAGCTTGAACCCCAGAAAACAGACACAATCGACTCAAAGCGCTGCATGTTGGTTTTGTGGTGTAGGACACCATTCAGTCCTCTTTTCCGAGGCTTTGAGGGTGCCACTGCAATTTAGCAATGACATCAATGTCATGTCTCAAATGCCGCACTTGTTGCATGTTAAAACCCTTCAAGATTCACAACCAAAGGAGAGTCCAACCAACTTTGAGGCATCCGCTCAGACTTTCGATTGAGACGCTCGACATGTCTGCATTTTCAAGGCGACTTTGGGCTCAGGCTTCCGCATTCTTAGACAATACTGGTAGTCTGTGGCTGATTTGCGATCGTTTCTCAGGCACTTTACTGTCCACTACATTGGTTTAACTTGCTGACGTCCTCTCCGTGTTTGAGGGTTGCACGCCTTGGCAATACGATGGCCGTCACCAAGAGCTAAGCTTGGGCTTCAACCTCCTCTGTGAATTATTGGGTTCCCAAGTTCTAGTTTTCATAATTATCGAAGGAAATGCCCCAAGGGCCCCAAGGGGAAGAATGCGGGTGAGGGCCAAGATGTTTCAAAGGCTTTGTTCCGCAGCCTTCCAGCCATGGCTCACCGCTTCCACATGAACTTCTCAGGTGGGGACGATGCTTCTCTGTCGATCCGTTTTTTTGTTTGTTTTTGTGTTGTGCTGTGTTTGTTGAGGTCGCTTTGCACAGAAAGGAACCAAAGAGAACAGGAACCAACAGGCAACTACAGCTTCGCTCGCGCACTGTGACTAGCCACAGCCTTAGAGCATTACTTGCAGAGGTTGGATTCGGTGCTGTTCTGAAGCAAGCGGCCATTCTTATGACACTGGACGCTTGCATGGGTTTGTCTTTCCAAACCCAAGCTCACACATGGATGCTCCGCAGCTCCAGCTGTTGGTTGCCAATAGGCGGTGATCAATGGTCTTCAGTCCACGGACGAGAAACAGCGGCAACAATGCAGATCAGCATCTTTGTTGTTTTGTCAGCTTTGGGTTGAAGCGTTCCATGGCATGATGCATCCGTCGGACAAAGATGATCAAATGTCGCAGAGGTACACCAGCTGGACACGTCGGACCGTGTTTGTTGCAGAGCGAACCACAAGTCTTCCCGTTCCCCCTCACTGTATGTGATCGCAGAGAGAAGATGACTTGTTTGGGACATCTGAAGCAAATGGAAGCGCTGGACGGGCGGGCTGGCCCATGTGCAGACACAATTCGGTGTCGCAGGAAGGCAATCCAATTTGTTCTCCCCCGATGCAGGTACCTGAATCAGAAGTTGCGGACGGCGCTCGAAAGGTCGGGTATCAATGGCTTTCGGACGTTTTGGTCGAGAAAAAACAAAAAGCCCGCGCAATTCCTGTTGCCACCATCGATCTCCCATATTTCGCCCGCACAGAAATCCTAGACATCGGCCTCGGCTCCGGCTGATCGACCGATTTCGCAGGCCATGAGGAGAACCTCGAAAGCTTGGAGGCGTGCCAGGTTCTCACTACGAGTCTTGCGATAGGGAATGACCGAGATGGGGTGTTGGGAATGAACCAGAAGGGGATTCTCTCAATGGAGACCATAGGATGCATGGGTTTTGTTTGGGGTTCCATTCCCTGCCTATCGAACCAGCAAGAAGTCAAAGGTCCAGTTCGACAGGCAGTCCACAAGGAGATTTGTGACATTTCCAGATGCCCCACAAAGCTGAGTTGCTGACCCACAAAGCCAAAGCGAAGACCTCGGCTGCAAGTGGCTGCCAGGGAGTGTTGCTTCCCCCCCCGTCACGCTGATGAATTCCAACTGCAAGCTGTCTGCTTTTGCAAGTTGTACCTTACAGTCTTCGATTCTTGACAAGCGCAATTGATGTGTCCCGCTGCTGTTTCTGCCGCATCATGTTCATACAACTTGGAATCAATATGTGCCAGAGACACTACTCGTACATGTTACACATATAAATGTTGAATCACATATGTGTATACATAATCCATATACATACATGCATATATATATATATATACATGTACTAGACACATAGAAACATATGTATGTGTATATGTACATTATATGTATAGCTATATCAATATGCAGTATGTGGAGGTTTGCGTGAGGCGCTTCAGCGACAGCTGCGGAGCCACTCTCAGCAGCTGCGCGCCCAACTGGCGGAGGACGGGATGCGGATTCGGCGATCCCGGGATCCGGGATTCGGAGCACGGGATTCGGGCAGAATTTGGGGATGTTCTGCGTACACTCCCTCAGGCTAACATGGAAGCTGACAGGAGGGGGTTGGAAGACTACTTTCCTTTGGGGAACCCCTCTGTCCACTTCCATGTTTGTTGGTGGGAGGGTAATGTTGTTTTGTTATTCTTCTTGGTGCGAAAAGTAGGGAATGACCACGAGACCGAGTGTTGAGAATGAGCCGTTTTATGTTTTTTCCTTTCGGATTCCCGAATAAAGGAAGTTCAAATCGGGGATTGTTTATTAGGGTCATTCCCTCATTCCCTGCTGAGCACCAGCAAGTAATCAACCCCAGCTTATGAATAGGCTGAAATGGAATCAGACCACTTTTGGAGGGGCCCCCACACCCCTACTAAGAAACCTGGGTTGATTAATATGGGATGAACATCAGTTGGTCTCGTGTTTTGTGGGTTTGGTTCATTTGCATTCCTGGCTTGGTCTTCTAGAATGCCAGAACAAGCATCTCTGATGAGTCAAAGCTACGTCAGAAGGTGTTCTCGGTATGTGCCTGCACCCTCGAGCGGCCAGGATGCCCCTCGAGCGGAGACGCGTATGCCAGAGACCCGTCCAATGCAGACACGGCCACTGGATACGCATTTGCCAGAGAGGCATCCGCTTCGTCCGATGGAGACGCGTTTGCCAGAGCATCCTCCTGAGACGAGGCCGGACTCGGAGCCGGGCGTTGTCATTGATGTTGTCATCGGTTGGCTGAAGCAGCTTCAAATTTGAGCCAAGCCTCTGTTCTCATATCACCTAACAGCTGCAGGCAGCCGTTGGATGTTGGGGTCAAACTTTCGGAGCACATGCAACGCACGCCGCAAGGGCACAATGAAGCGGCTGTTCGGAATATCATCGATGATGAATGTGCTACTGCTCAGTTGATATGCAGTACGTTCACCGCTGCTAAGATTTGAGAGACATGAGGAACATCTCTGCAATCGAGCATGTCATCATCAGCTTTGCCGTCAAGCGCATCATCGTTAGCCCTTACTAAGCAAGCAATCCAAGATGACAAAAGTGGCTTCTCTGACCGCGGCCTTGTGTTCTGCGGCAGGTTCAGCTGCAACCACGGTTCCGAGCAGAGAGTTTGTTGGGCAACACTCCCACCATAATGTCACTATCTGGGGAAGTGGACGCTGCAGGGATGCGTGATGCGGGATGTGCCAGCACTGGCTACCCAGTTGATGGGCTGGCCAATTGGCTGGCCTGTTGGCTGGATGACTCTTCCATGACAACTCCGATCGGTATGGCAGGAGTATGCAAAAAATGCCTGGTGGCCACGCTGAAAGATCAAAACACCTGGGCAACAGTGCCTTGAACCCACATGAACTTGCAGTTTGCTCGCTTGCGCGAGTGGTGTTTGTTCTTCTTAGTTTTAGATGGGGCTCTCTCATGGGTGAAAAGATGTTAAACGCGCCGTTAATAGAAACGGGTGTTCTTGCGAAGCCCTGCGGGATCCTCATTTTCCAATGTTTTTTGTTGCACTCCGTGCCTTCAGTGGAGAAAACGGAGCCCATCACTCCACCTTTTTGCGGCGGTGGTCTCAAGGTGTTTCGCATTGAACAGGTCTACAATACAGTGGCCATGGCCACCTTCTATTGGCATGTTTTAGTCAAGCTCGGAATTTGCTGTAGCGGGCATGATTGCCTCCCCTGAATGGGATACAACATGCCTTTCAGCTCCATGATCTAAGAATGCCTGCTACACGCCAGATAAGCTGCTACTTGAGTTATGCGTGTGTAGATGAACTTAGAGATCTGTGAAGTAGATGCGGAGGATCGGCTAGCACTAACCACACAGGTGATGGTGTCACGAAATAGCATTACATTTCGAAGCAACATCGTTTAAACTCAACTTCGCACAGGGTTACCACATGATACCACAGCTTGTATTGCTTGTGCCTGGAGTTCCATAAGCATCCAGGTCTGGTGGAACGTTCTACCCACAGTCACAGTCTTCACAAGCTGTTTGTATCAAACGCGGTAAGAATGACAGCGCCCCTCAAGAGTTGGGTGTGGGTCAAAATCACACCACCAGGAATCGGACCGCAGCTTGCAGTGGAAGTTTCCATTTACCAGGGTTTCATTTGGGGTACCTATTTTTGACCCACAGCCACTTGGAGACTCGCGAGTCCCATGACCGCAACCATTTGGCCGAGCCTTCCAGGCCTTGTCCCGTGCGGGGGCCAAGCAGACGGATGGAGAGGCTACGCAATCGGGATCACTATGAAAATATGTGCGATATAACAAGAGATGACTGATGGTTGGAAGATTTGTGGTGGTTTTATATTGGCCCCCTGCAAACGATAGCTTTCTCCAATCAATGATTACTTGAAGTTTCATCCAGTCCTGACATGCTGGGGAGCGGTCCAGAACTCTTTCAACTTGAAGCTAGGGCTTATTTCCGACTGCAGATTCAAGCGCCCGTTGCTGCTTGAACCTTGTGACTTGATTGCGTGGACACATTGGACGGGACTCATGCGGGGACTGCTTTCGATCGCTGTCGCCACCGTTTGATCTAGCGTTCTTCGAGGGGAAGGAATAGCAATGCTTCAGTGTTCAAGCTTCAGAGCTCAAGCTTCAGAACTAATCAACGGCGGCATAGCTCTTGAAGTCTCAGTGTGCCAATGGAACAACATGTTCTGCAGTCCAGGCTCAAAAGTAGCTAGGCAGATACCGATTCGATAGGATCAATATGCTTTGGGGCGTCCTTGCCCTTCAGCTTTGCGGTTCCCTGGCTGCGAAGGCGTACCCCGAGCTTGAGGATCACGCCTTGCTAGCCCTGGGCCGGCCACGAGCCGAAAGCTTTCGGCCAAAGAGCCTCACGGAGGCATCGGCATCCCCTCCGAGCCGAAAGCTGCGTTGCGTAAGCTTCGCAATGTCCACCTAAAAAGACCCCAGCAGAATATCCCCTATCAATTCAATGCATGGCGAGCAAATGTGAATGGAACAGTCATGTAGTATTGCCCAAGCTTTCTGCTGAGTCCTACCTCGATGTTCCATATCATGTAGTGTTCCTCTTGTATTGGTGCAGCTATGATTTTGGTTTACGCTGTATATCTCCTTTTGTGTTGCTGCAGCTTCCTGTTGAGACGAATGTTGAAATTGGCTTACTTTGGATTTCTGTCGTATTGCCAAAGCTCTCTGCTGAGACCCAAAACATTGATCGACTTGAGCGTTCCCGTGTTATTGCTGCGGCCTTCCGCGAAGACTGAGTTTGGTTTCCATTTACTCCAGCGTTCCTGTAGAATTGCTGAAGCATTCTCGTAAAATGAAATGATGTTTGCATTCCGTTATGGGGAGAGGCAGTCAGAAGAAGTTCCTCCAAAACAGAACAAACTCGACTTTAATGTAATGGCACTTAAATAAACTATTCAAGGGGAAAGCACCCTTGTAGTGTACTTGCTTGAGGGGTGCTTGAACAAAGTCTAGTAGCAAAAAGTCATGTTATCAAGCCATCATATTTCAAGTTTAGCCTGCACTGGCAGGAGCTTTCACGTGTTTAGGCAACTTATTTTCGACGGTAGTGAGCCCCCTTCGAACACCAACAAACAGCACCACAACCCAGAGAAAACAAGTAAACAAGGAACGTGATCTTTTTGTTTGGCCTTCGCGTTTCCATACTTGTGGCCTCCAGGAAAACAAGCATAAGATGTATCAATCAGGCCGGTTTGGGCAAAACAATTTACCTTATGGACTTTACTACTCATAGGTGGACAAAGCATGGGGACATGAGCGTCACCCTCGTCGCAAAAGCGGCGGCTCGGCTCTTGGTGACGAAGATATCAGTATCACCTACACGAGCTGGAGCGATGGCACCAAG